GAATGTCTCCGACTTCAGCATTTTACGATTTCTCAACATTTGGTGAATATCCGCACTATTTGTACTCTTTTCGAATTCGCTTATTAATCTGTCTTTCAGATCGTCAAAATTAGACACGCACTCGGATTCCAAAAAAAGCTTAGCAGCTCCACACATCTTGCCTCGGGCCTGAACATATTTTTGTTTATCCGACAGTTCGTAAGCCTCCTCATTATTCTCGAAAATGTCGAACCACTGTTGCACAGGGATAGAGTATCCATCGAAGTCGCTCAGAATTTTCTCGAAATTACTCGCCGATATTTTCACTTGATTATCTCTGCGTTCATCTACCTCTATTTTCAGGGTTAACAGTTGCATCATTTGTTGCACCCTGGCGTCGATGTTTGCCACGCTTCCCTCAGCCATTGCTACCTTGTTTTCCTCTGGAATCAGCCCGGTTTCGCGATCTAGCTCCGTCTCGGACAAATTTTCATCTAGCAGCAGCAGATTCTCCTTTTCGATTCTTGTTTCCACTTCGTTGATTTTTTTCGACGGCGTACGTCTGGTTCTCGGCATTTTCCTTTTTATTTTACGTTTGTGTATGTATTGCGAGCGACGCGACCGAGCTGTTCTTTTCTTTTCTTCTTGCGAACCGACACAACGAGTACCCACAACAACGACGTCGACCGAACCGTTCTCTTTCGTTCTTCTTTTCCGAATGTCTGTGTTCGTGTGTGTATTACGAGCAGACAAAACAGCGAGCAAGCGAACCGAACTGTTCTCTTTCGTTACTTTTCGACGATCGTATGTATATTACGCACCGACACAAAACAACCCCCGAAAATAACGAGGTTGACCGAACTATTTTTCGCTCCTTTTCTGTTCTTTCGTATGTGTATGCACGCCGCAACACAAAATTTGAATTTCGAACAATTTTTCGCTTTTTGGGCAAATACTGTAATTTCACAACTGTTCGACTGTACAACTTTACGACTTTTCTTCTTTTTTTTTTTTTGAAATCACAATAAAATGCTCCATCCACTTTAGGCAACTTTTTCACTTATCATTACTAACCGCGCATTCAAAACAGGACGAGCCCCCAAATGTGAAAGGTTGTATTTAAATGTATGTTTATTAACGAGATATATAAGTAATGGATACAGCTTTGTTAGATATGTTTTTATAAGCGAAAGACAACTGATTTAAGTACGACTGATTTTATTTACGACTGACGAAAACGACGACTGACTACGGACTGGCGAGAGGCCTCTGAGCGGCGTCGGCTGACGTTCTCGCGATCTCCTCTTTACTCTCCCTGCTCTCAGCTCTCTCTGGGAGGTCTGCACTTGTGTGCGCGACCCATCCTTCTTACATATATATGATTTAATTATTTTTATTTTTAATTGTGCACTTTGTTGCATTGTCGGGTTCCAGTTGTCATCCTTCTCTGTGATTCCAACGATGGTACAAGAGGCGGCCTATATGCCACTCGCACGTTCTTCAGGTTCAATCGATGCATTTGCAATGCATATAGTAATATTATTACTTTGTATTTGGTTTTGATTAGTATTTTTTTTTTGGTGATTGGTGTTCGTGTTGCGTGGAATCTCTTTGTCGTCGTTTTTGTTCAAATTTTTCTTTTAATTGGTCCAATTCTTTTGTTAGAATATTAGCATTTTCCCATGTGGGCGGTGGTTGTTGTTGATAGAGGATGTATTTGAGGTAGCTTATTCTTTTCTTGTCTTTGTATAGTTGGCCTCCTCGTTTTCGGGGTACTTTTACTATCGGTATGCGGCACAATTCAGCATCTTTTCTTCGCGCTAGCCGCGCTTTATATTCCTCAATGGTTAGCTTGGACATTCCCTTTTTCTCTTTTTTTTTTTTGAAACAAAACTAATATTAACCACGAACACGCACCTTTTCTTTTTTTTTTTATATTTACGTATTTAGAAATACATAAATATTTTTATTTTCTTTTAATATATGTATTTTTATTATTATTTAGTTATATATTATTTATTAAAATTTTTTTTTTTTTTCACTTATATATTTTTATATGTTTTGGGCTCCTGGCAGGATCGCCATATAATATACGTAATTTTGTTGGTTTAGTCGGAATTGCCCGTATGGCCAGGCAACTTCGAAATGTTCTTTATTTGTATAGTAAACGTTATGTTCTTTATATATGTTCTTTTATTTGCTCTTTATAGCTTAGTAGCTAAGGCTAGGGCTGCCCGAAAGGCCAGGCAGCTTCTGTGTCGGTCCATGAAGGGCATGGCCTTTTTATGCTAATTGGAATGGTCAGTGCTTCAGGTTTGACATTATATCGGCAGCAGAGCCGATCTGCTATCAGCGTCGTCGCGTCATCATCTTCGGCTTGTGATAAGCACAGATATGCATACGTATATACGTATGCATGTGCACACATAGCGGCAGCGCAGCGCCGACGAAGCGACGACGCTAACTTTGGCACGATCGGTCTATGCTTGCCGTTTATGTTTATACAAATGTTTTGTTAATCTAGTTGGTAGTTCTTATGAGTGACTGCTTATACTACAACTTACTATCTCACACCTAGTAATTCCGCACATTACAATACACTGTATAATAACAACGTATAATCCATTTCGGGCCCCACGTTGGGCGCCAATTATTATGTAACAAACACGGTAGGAGCCGTTTCGGCCTGAACCCTCTGTCTACTGGTTGGACGGCCTAGCTCAGAAAGATTGGCGTGGGTTCGGTTGTTGCATTTCAGGGTATATCGATTGGCAAAATTGCATAGTAGCGAGGAATGATATAGGGGACAGAACGGAAAAATCTTTAGCGGAAGGCAGAACTAAAAAAAGTTACTGATCGGGACTTAAAAAAACAAAGTGAGTGAATTGAGAATGGATTAGAGGCCATCACTCAAAGTGAATTTTGGTGTTTCTTCGAATAGCAGGAAGGAGTATTTAGAGCTGTCTAGCGGTACGGAACTGAAACAGACGAACCAATAAAGCTACGGAAAAACAAGAGCAAGTGAGTCCGCTCCAATGGGGGAACAAAAAAATCCCAATTCACGCCGTTTTTTTTTTTGTAAACTCATAAGGAATTTTGCCCAGTTCCGCCGTCCTATCCACAGTGGCATGGTCTCGCAACCACCCAGGTTATATGGCCCTGGTCCCTCGCCCGGCTTAGAAGTGGACCCCAACCAAAGTATCATCCCCGTCTTCCTAAAACGAAATTAAATAAAATCCGATCAAACGTTATACATATGCTCTAAATCAACGGGCCGTTCCATATTTATTTATACGTTTATTTATTTACTCTTAATTATATTTATTTATTTGTATTTATATGTAATTGTCCTTATATATATTTTTTTTATTTATTCATATTTATTGTAACACGCCCATACCCATAACTTAGGTTGAAGAGAGGAAGTGTTTAAGATGGGGCAATAGAAGGTCGACCTAAAACCAAGATAGGGAATTTTAGGAATATAGGAGAATGTGTGTAAGAATTAATTTAAGTTGAAAATATAAGAAAGAATGAAGTGCTAATTGTTTAAAATGGGGGGACGGCGAACCAGGACTGCGAGAGGATGAGAAAGATGCTGCACTTGGCAGGGAGATCCGATATGGTCTGATCCGGATCTCTGGTAGGGTGGGTACGTCGGAGGTATAACATCAACCGCCTGAACCTGGTCCAAGTTTTGGTAGGAGATCGTTTGTCGAGTAGCGTCCGTAAGAAGTATTTTTGAAGTGTCGTTTCATTATTTTCCGTTTTTTTGTAGCTGTTTCAAATGTTGTCCGAGATGATCGATTTGTTGGGTTTTTTGGTGCGACCTGAGGGCTTGGGAAGTATCCAGCCCTGGGTTGACTGGGTAGCCGGCCTTGCCCCACCACCAAAAGGTTCGTAACACATTTTACGAAATCTCTAGTCAAATATCTAGTAGAATTGCCATTCGGTGTCGACGTCCAAAACCAACTCAAAGGTAAATCTGGCCACCTAGTTTTTCTGACAATTTAATTTTTTTCGGAGTGCTAAATTCGAATGATATTATGCATTTAATGGTTTTAAATTAAAAATTAAAAAAAAAAATGGCTTAAGTTTACATAATTTAAATTTCCAGCCATTGCAAAATAAGTGCGTAATTAATGAAGATTCTGCCGCTCCAATTATTTATATTAGGTGGTTAACGTGTGTTAACGTCAATGTCAAAAAGAAAAATAAGTCGCTCTAAGAAGATCTCTTGCTATTAATCCGGCGACTGGCATTTTTCTATAAAATTTGTTCAATTTAGAATGCAAGTAACGCAAAACGTTGTCAGTGTTGCCGTTTAACACTTTAATTGAGCGGGCAAAAAATTTTAATTTTGTTGTTCATAAAATACTCAAAGATATGAGCGAAGAGTAGCCAAATGCAAAAGTTGTTTTGGGTAACTTTATACAAAACAATCCTTCTGAGATCCCTAATGAAAAAAAATAAAATAAACAAAGACCAGCATTTCACAAAATTATTTTTAAAAGACTAAAACTATGAGCTACAATTCTCATTGTTGCGCGTGAACTCCGAAAAATTAAATCTCTAGATATTCTGTGGCACCTACGCAATTTTCGGTTGATTTGACAAATCTCTCGAGTCAAAATCTCTAGAGATTTCTGTGGCACCCCTGCCCTGATTAAAGCGGCCGAACAATAGTGAAAGGTTTCGAGACACATACGTGATAACGAGACGTGTCAGTTTGAAAGTATCTACTCGAGACGGGTCGAGAGAGCGATAGCGAACCCCAAAGAAGGAAAGACGCTAGATGACGAAGCATTAGACGGACTTAAAGGTGTAGGTATCTGTGGTACACTGGGAAGTGCAAAAAACGATATACTTCACTGCTGCATATCTGGCTGTCTATGGACTGACTTATATTATGCTTCGTAACCTAACACTTTTCAATTGGCCAATGAAAATTACACGCATAACAATTCCAGCTGACTATAAAAAATTTGTTAGATATTGTAAAATTATTTTTATTGATTTATTTTTCTAATGGTACATTAAATTGTTAAAATATTCTTATATGTAAATATATATATTTTAAGATATTCCTTCGGAAATATTAATATTTGAATCAAATGGATTTCTCAAAGTTTTACTTTTGGTTGCATTAAATTTTCCTCGCCATACATTGGAGTCAGGCCCTTTCATGTGCATAAAATTTCTGGAAAACCCATTTTTGGTTGCTATTTCTACGATTCCCATAGAAATTACCTTTGAAATCACTGTAATAGAGTCTGTTGATTCTGAATGAATATTTTTGTCGGCAGAGTAATTTATTTCGCCACTGCAGGAAACACATATCGCTTCTTCACCACGTCTCGACATATTATAGATTAGACATTCCTTATGGAACGAATGTTGACAAAGAAAATAGACTGATTGCATATTTAGCGATTGACGACAGATATCACATACACTATTACGAAATTCTATTGGATTATTTGCATAAAGAGATAGCATAGAACCGGCTTTCTTTATTTTTTTATTTAAATTTTCAATAATTTGCAATTCGTTTCTTGAATCCAAAATATTTTGAACTATTTTTTCCCTAATAAAAGGTTTAAACTGCAAAGCATGTATCGAATTATTTCGGAATCCACTATTTAACATTATTAATAATGAGCTTGTCCTAAGTTCAAAGACGTACGTAAGATCTGGATAACTCTTAAGAAGACTGTGTACACATTTGTTCGATCCTCCATTGTTAACAATATCTGCATCATTCAAATTTGTATGAACTTGTTTAATCCCATTTAAAAATATATAAAGTCTACATATAATTAAAACTTTTTCCAGACGTAGCCGATCATTTTTCAAAAAATCTAAAATAAAACCTGTAGTTTTTTTTCTGTCACGCCATAGTCCAAGATAAAGAATAAGTAAATAATCATATAATTCGTCGTCACAACTGGGATAACTCCCAATTATTTCAGCTAATAAGTTAGCACAAAACTCGTTATGCTCCGACAAAATGGGGAAAAAACAAAGAATGTTTTTTGTCGTTTTTCCAATAATTACCGACCTAAAATTCTTTAAATAAGTTTCTGGGTTTATCATTAGTGATTCTGGTCCAAATTCTAAATGGAAGTGTAATATTTCATCGCCTTCAAAATTTTTTGCTTGAGTTCCAACATTTGTTGAATTTAAATTACGGCTTGGTATATTTGAAAGCGTATTCAGATATAGATTATCTGTTGTATTGACGGGTTGAAAGTTATTCTTAGCTTTCCAATTTTTTTGATCAAGTAATTTAAAAAGTTGTTTGTGTTTATTTGTAGCATTATTAGCTTTTAAAAATTCATATAAATATTCTTTTAGATAATCAGTGTATCTGGAATGGAGTAGTTTGGAAATCACATCGTAGGGTTTAATAAATCCAATTGTTTTAGTATATTCTATGACTGCTCTACTTATGTCGCCCTTCAGTACCAAATAATTTCCGTATTGAAATCGCACGTAAGCAGTATCGTATGACGAAACAAGGCCTTCTCTAGATAACAATTGCAAAGCAATATTGTACATATTTTGTTCAATTAGAAGTCGAATTTTTGTATTCGTATTGCACTGCTGTAACTTGAATATGTTGGTGCAAGAGCTATCCCTACAATTGGTGATAATGTAACATAAGTCATTTTCGCTGATAGTATAACATAAATCTTGAATTTGCTTATAAAAAACAATAATTTTAATTTCAGTATCCACAACAATTAGCGTCAACTTGCTTTTATCCGAATAAAAACTTCTTGGACTTTGGACTAAAACAATAAGATAATGGCCCACCCAATCCAAAGACTTTTTTTTCCCTTTAATAGCATAGCATGGGCCCCTTCCTTCACGAGTATAGCAGTATATAGCATCTTCTCGACCAACTACTAACATAGAATCATCTAATTCTGCATTACTTGCTTTGCGCAACGTACAACAATGATTGTAAGCCCGTTCGTTATTGTCAAGCATAAATTTTGGAACGATTGCGCCTTTTTCTTTCAATATAAAGCAGTACACTCCATCTAAACATGTCACAAACATGTTTAAAGCATTTTTATCCGAGCTTTGAGGTCTGATGTCGAAGTGTATTCCATTAATTGCGTGTCCAGATATCGAGTGGCGGCGAGTATTTGTTAAAAGAAATCTGTTTATTTTTCCATTATGCAACAGAATGTCTCCGTTCTCAAAGCCCAAGGCTAGTACCAGTATTTTATCGTCTATGATGCATGATGCATTGATGCATGCTGTAGTACTTGTTGTATTAAAAGTTCCGGAAGCAATTATTGGAGCTCCTTGTTTTTTAGTCAACTTTTTTAGATCGTATATATCTATGTGTACTACAAAAGTTGTATCTTGGGTGGCAGTTGCTAGTAAATTATTGGACGTGAGTGCACATTGCCTGATGTGATGCACCCTATGTTGACTTTTAAAGGAAATGCACTCCCAGTTAGGAAAATAAACATGTATATGTCCATTTTTGTCACAAAACACTAGAGTGTTTTTATTTCCCCCAGCGTCAGACTTGGTTAGATTGAAGCAGTGACACGCAATTTCCGAAATATTCGGCAATTTAACAAACGGTAATCCCACAATATTGAAAAAGTTCACTTTTTTCCATTCTAAAACTTCAGCATTCATCTTGTTATAACATACTTCATATACTGAAACAAGAGTGTGACCGAATTAATCATTCAAAAATATACAATTCTTAAAATTATCATAATATGTAGGGTATTCCTCAATGTGTTGCAACGTATTACTTTTAAACAATGCTAAATGGCTTATCAGCCGGGATCCGGCTTTTACTTTCGCGAAAAACATTCCGATTGACTTTCTAATAAAAACTCTTGAAAAATAATTGATTCAAAATTATATGATTTTTATATTTTGCTCAAAGTAAATCGTTTTGGATCTCAAAATTATGCTTATAACCAATTCCCACGGGCCATCCATTTCTGGGATGGTCAGTAAGGTTTTGCCGTTCCGAAAATTTCCCAGTTATTCCACCATCCATCTGGGATGTTCATAATTCGCACGTTTCTGTGCGGTATTTTTTCGGTAATTGTCAAATGCAACCATAAATATTTGACATTCACAACAAAAAATCGGAATTCACTACGAAAATGTAAACAATGACTAACCGGAAAATGGTAAAATCAACAACAAAACATCTGATATGTCAGAATTGTCTCAGGCAGAAAAACTCGGTTTGTGGACTGGGAATTCTTTTATGCTTTGCAAAACTAGTGCAGTGTATTACACACGCTGTTTGTTGACAGCCTTCCGACTGTTCTGTACTCAGAAAAATTACCCAAGGTATACAATGCTATGGCTATACAAACCTTTCCTTCAAAAACGTGTGTTTTCGGGTACTTTCTCCCAAACGGCTTCTCAAAAAACATAGAATATATTATTGTATTTAAAACATTGATTGCATTTAGTAGAAGTAACCATTGCAATATTATCAATATTCATTTAAATTATAAAAGAAACAAATTTTCCGCAGCACCAAATTGTGTGCATCAGCTATTTTTCATGGATGGTGGATGGTGCCAGTGGGAATCGGAATTCACATCTGTCAAAAATTCCCGCCGTTCCTCATAGATTTACTGTGTGGGAAAAGGATATTACAATCAAATGCAACCTCTCTGAAAAGTCAATTGGAAAAATGTTTTTATTTTTATATAAAAAAAATTTACTATGATCTAAGTGTTATCAAATTACTTATAAATAATGATTACACTACCCGACAAAATTTTGCCGCTTCGAATCAAAAAAACTGTTTTTTGTTATAGATTTGGGGCTTTAAACATGCTTATAGGCTCTGCACACTGAGCGCATCCCGGTGAAACGGTGGGACTTTTTGAAAGATGTGAAACACCGATTCACACTGGCAACATCCACCATCCATGAATGACAGCTGGGTGAGCATAAAATAACTAAGATTTGTGCAGAAAATGTTATTGTTTATTAAGAAAGAATAAATAATAATAATCTATCAATTGTGTTGGCTGTCGTTCAACAGCAACATAAAATTATTTGGCTCAAGTTGATAATGTTGATACAAATGAATTAATGTGTAAAGTATTTATGAATTCAACGAGGCCTTGCGTGTACATGATGTACACGAATAATATATATTCGATTCCAGTCGCTATCATGGACGGGGCCATCTCCATATAAACATGGGATTTCTTCCGAGGTCCCAGCAAACCCTCAATACTCTGCTGTCATATTTAAATAAAAATAGTCCACATCTCAGCAGACCACATCAACGTGCTGCTTGTTGTTTTTCGAATGGCTGTAAAATTATAACGCATAGGACTTACGAAATCATATTACATATAACAGTTTCTTTTTCTTCAAGTATTATTTATTCTAAAGGAAGGAAACGGCAACAGCTGATGGACTGTGTGTTGTTGTTTTTCCCATTTTCCTGTCTGTCATTGTTTACCTTTTCGTAATTAATTCCGATTTTTTGTTGTGAATGTCAAATATTTATTAGAAAGATCCCAGATGGATGGTGGAATAACTGGGAAATTTTTCGAATCCTATCCTTCGCCTATGAAATGCTACTCGGCTTTGTCAATGCCTCAGCCAGCGCTGAAGTCTTTGACGCGGCACAGTGGGGACTCAGCCGAAAAGAAGTGGCACAGGTCATACAATCATATAAAATAAATTTACCCAACTAGTAAAGAATTTTCCAGTTTTAAAAAATCGAATCTTCAAAATAATTGTTTCAATGTGTACAAACTTTATTCACTTACTTTATCACTTCATTTATTAATTTAGCAAGCTGAAATATCCGGAGGCCCCTGTCTGGCATCTGCTGCCCTGATGCTCGAGAGTCGAGACTTCGAGTATCAATGTGCTGAATCATGCACAAGCAACGTAGCTATATTTGCTATTTTATCTGGGCTCGTAGTTAAGGACCGAATATTTTGTTATTACATTCTGGCTCTACGGGGCTTAACGAAAAATCCCGCCATAAAGCAGCTTTTTGGTTTCTCATGCTACATCTTGGTATTGTATAGTCTTTGATCATAGTATGTTAGGACTTTAGACCAAGGGTCGACAAGGCCCTATCTAATGGAATAGGAAAAGATCTCGGGGCAGCGCAGTCGTAAAAACTTCGTGTGGCCTCGGTCTATGCACGACTTCATTATTCTACTCGGCTACCTCAGCAGTAGTGAATAGAAATTTCTGCACTGACAAAATAGGTTGAACATACTGAGGTAGCTTCTCACAAGGAAGATATTTTTTCCCTTTTAAAAATGTGAATGGCGGTGCGCAATAATTTTTGTTGTTATATTGCTTTTTTTGTTTAATAGCATTTTAATGTTTCCTCAAAAGATTTTTTCTTTTGTTTGGCGTGAGTATCTGTTTAACGACCCCTGTCCAATTTTGATCAGTATTTCCTATTCAATCAATTAAAATATTTAATATAAAAAATAAAATTTAGTATTTTTTTAAGTATATCTGAAAGAAATGAATATTTTGTGCAGTGGTATTCTGAGGGAGGAATTTTTCATCCAGGCTTCCTTCCAGTCTGTCGTACTTTTTGGACTGGAAGCGAGTGGTGAGGATTCCAAGTTAATCCTACACCCAGTTTTGAAAGACAATCGATTTAACGTTGTTTCAAAGGAACACAACTGTTTAGAAGTGTTTTTATATTTATATCAATATGTTAGAACATTTAATATAGAAAGTAGCATTCAGATAGATGTATATACATTTGTATACATACGTACCACGGTTCAATTGGTCTTACATGTAAATCTCCAGCATATTTGTGTTAAATATTTAAAAAGGTAAAATAGGTTGTGTTAATTTGATGACTAGTATTTAAACTACATACATAGATACGCAATTATGGTTTTTGTGTTGGCCTGAATCATTGTCCAAACATTGACAGGAAAGTTTTCAACAGTCACACTATAAATAACGGTTTAAGTTCAATGTACATAGATGTATTAATGAAGTCTATGTACATACAATAAATAAATCGGATATACATATGTATGTACGACATATTTTTTTTAAATAGATACTTACGGTATTTACTCCAAATCAATCTAAAAAAATTCATTCAAAATAACACATATGTATGCATGTCCTGCATTACCTTTTATTTTTCTATGATAATAGCTGTTACATAACTACCGATTTCCGACAGATTTTATATAAATATTTTGAAACATTCTAAGGGTTTAATTAATGCTTAAGATTATATGTGATATGTTGTTACCAAGTATTTAAACTCAAATGCGGCTCGTAGATGGTGCATTCACGGCTCGGAATAATTTTACAATATTCCTTTAGGTCCTGTTTTGACAGATAGTTTGAGTCCGGTTTAAAAAAAATTTCTCTTTTCGTCCAGTTTCCACTCTACACAACGTAACGTGAGTCGCGGCACACGTCCGGCGACAACCAAAATGCCGGTTATACTGAGTCAGTCATTATACTTATTATATATGTATGTACATATATGTATGTATGATTTATGTAGCTTCCCTGCAGTACCAGAACTGAGCGATGACAACTGTGAAGTACGCGTCATTTAGGATTTTTCCTCTGCCGCTGCGGCAGCCGAGCAGAACAAGAAGTCGAACATTTATTTTGCAAATAAATGTTGAGATTGAATAATATTGAATATATTGGTAAATTTGTATATGACTTTAAACTAGTTTTCTGCAATACGGGCATAGCAATAGCGAGTTTTTGAAACGTTGTTCCAAAGTTTTGTAGCACTCAGTGCATACTTTAAAGTGCCCGTGGGCGTTATGACACTTTGAGAGTGGGCGCTATGACACTTTCAACGCCCGTGGGCGTTATAACACTGGGCGTTATGACACGCACCCGTGTGTAACGCAGAGACCCCGAATCCCCGATTGGACCACAAAGAGTATATTTATTCGTGATCAGCATCAACAGCCGAGTCGATATAGCCATGCCTGTCTGTCCGTCCGTCTGTCTGTCCTTATGAGCGCCTATATCTCAGAAACTATAAAAGCTAGAGCAACCGGTGAAAAGTGAGACGAGGGCTATGTTATTTTGTGAAAATTATTATCAGGTAAGTGCAGTGTTTCATTTAAATATAATGTTGAAAAATATGAATAAACTGTGTAATTGCGAATTATCTGCGTTTTGCACGAAGTTTCCATTTCCAGCAACGAAAAAACCACCATAAAAGCGAGGCTCGAGTCGAGCAGGTACATATTTTTTGGCGGGTGTTTTGTTTTTGTTTTTGGCGCAAATACACTGCTGATAGCCTTTTCACTGAGAGCATTGTAAAAAAATTGAACCGATTTTAGAAATTTCGAATGGAAATATATTAATTAACCCATCTTATTTCAGAGGCGATTCAGTTGAAATGCCCGGAATGAGCACGTCGGTCTTACGAACACATCATTAATACATCAACAACACCAACAAAAAGGTTCTGTGCAAAAAAAGGATAGAACAAAAATGTAGATCGAAAATTTTATAAGAAAACAAAAAATAAAAATAAATTGAATATTTTTATACACAATTTACTCACATATTTTTTCTGAAAATAGCCACAGTTTTTAGTGAAATATGTCACTTATGAATGCATTACTATTTAGGGAAATTCATTGCCTATTAAAGCCTTAATTTTTGGGGAAATACAT